CTGAGGGGGCAGCGCTAATTAGAGCCCCCCTCTTCTTTCATCGATTTCCTCCACGATGGCCGCAAGAGGCCCCCAGGATGCCCCAAGAGGCCCCGAGATGGCCCCAAGATGGCCCCACGTGGCCCCAAGAAGCTCCCAAGAGGCCCCCAGGATGCCCCCAAGAGGCTCCCAAGAGACCCCCACGAGGCCCCAAGAGACCCCCCAGAGGCACCCAAGACGCTCCAAGAGGCCTCGGCGAGAATGCCCAAATCATTGATTGTACTAAGATTTTGGCCAAGATGACCTCAAGATGACCTCAAGATGGCACTGCTTGAGATGACTTCAAGAGCGCCTGGGAGAGCCCAAGATGACCTCCAAGATGGCTCAAGATATCCCAAGATGCCTCAAGATGGCTCCCACGATGCTCCAAGAGGCCCCAAGACCGCTTCAGGACGGCTCCAAGTGGCCAAAGAGTTCCCCCAGGAGGCCCCGAAGAGGCCAAAATCCTTCCAAAACCTTCGTAAAATCAACATTTTGGGCTTTCTCGCCTTTTCGCTTCCGATGGCCATCCGAGGCTTCAAGATGACTCTAAGATGGCCCACGAGGGCTCCAAGAGCGCTCTGAAGGCTCCCAAGAGCGCTTCAAGAGGGCCCCACGAGGCGCCCATGAGGCCCCAGGAGGCCCCAACAAGCGCCCCAGAGGCCTCCAAGAGGCCCCCAAGAGACCCCCAAGAGGCCCCAAGAAGCTCTCCAAAGCACCCAAGACGCTCTAAGAGGCGTCCGGGACCGCCAAGAGGCCCCTAAGACGCTCCAACTGGCCTCCACTGGGGTACCCTTCGGTTGCGTGCTGCCCAATTCCCTGATCGAGGCACTTCCTCTGGGCATCGTTTCTGGATGGGCTGGTGGGGTTACGCGAAGCGTCTAGAATTTACTAGCATCACTCGGCAAACTGCCCGCAAGATCCACGGGCTGCGCCCTGGCACGGGGTACCGAGATCAACTCTGAGCCATAGGAAACGAGGCCAGCGGTGGGCCCGTCTTCGCACGGACGGCCTGCGCCGAGAAGCGCCGCGAGGGCTTCCTCGGAAGTAGGTGGAGGAAAAGCTGCCTTGGAAAGCCCCTACTGCCCTCTGGATCGAACTCCTAGCGTCTAGCTGGGCAGACGAAGCTGAACGCTGGCACGGCCAGGGATGGCCAGAGACAGAACTGCAGGCGTCCACCATCTCATTCACGCGTTCGAAGCAGCGGCCCCGCTCCGCTAGGCGTTGCCTCACCCCTCGTGCGAGCGCCTCCTGGCGACGTTCCCAACACTCCGGGGCGATCCGAAGGAGGGAAGCACGTCACGTTGAACCAGCCTTCGAGCATCAAACAGGGCACGAGGCGCCGACAACGCGGCGAGAGGGGAGCCCACTCCCTCCCCAGGGAGGCCCGTCGTTTCCCTGCCGACGCCGCCGGCGCCGGGGTCGCCAGTCTTGGCCCATGCCGTCCCCGTTTGGCTTCTCGTGCCCACGGGACAGCCGCATTTGCTCCGCGCACTTGCGATGCCCTGCGAGGATCGACGAATGCTCGGACGCCCTGGCGGCCACGTGTCGCGTGAGAGCTGGGGCAACCAGAGCGCCTCCCTTGGTGATGCCCCAGCCCATCATGTCATCGGCGCGGGCGCAGTCCGCGTTGCTGGGGTCGTGGGCGCGGGCGGCCTCGATCACTTAGGCCCGACGGGCCAGCAGCTCGAAACTCTCCACATCAGGTTCAGCTGGTCGCGCTCGGCGGCGGCCTGGACCATCTTCATAATAGCGTGGTGCTCGTGCACGGAGCCGCCCCCCGCTGGTATGCCACTCTCGGCGGCCCACGTTCGCGAGCGCGCCACCGGGCCCATCCCCCTCAGTACGACCTTCTCGAAGTGCCACTCGATACTCGGGCCCCCTCCAACTCCCCGCCATTGAAGCCCACGTGATCCATGCCCACCACGGCCTCGGCGAACAGACGATAACGCTTGCCCCCCGCCACTTCACTGGGAAGACGCGAAAGTCACCCTCATCCTCCTCCGCCAGCGCCGGGGCGACGGCCGTCGCAGCAGCCAGACATGCTGCAGGCGGCGCCGCCGCGGCCGCGGGGGCCGCCCTCGGCACGGCGGGGACGAAGGCCGCGGCCGCCCCCGGGTGTTCCAGGCGCTCCACCACGGCCAACGCCATCACGTAGACTGCGGCCAGGTTCACCACCGCGGGAAAATCGATGGTGGGTGGCTCCCTGGGAAGCCCGTACGAGCAAGACGTGCAACGAGAAAACCGCTGGCCGTGAAGACCTCGGTGTCGATGCCCACGCCCCCTTCAACCTGCTAAAGGCACACGGCTCCGTCGAGGGTGGCTACCCGGCAGGTAGGGAGTCCAGCCTCCGTCACCTGCTCCCCAATTTGATGCTCCATCACATCCGCGGTGGTTTGATGCATCAACAACCGAACGTGCCACTCTCCGTCTCGGTAAGGAACCTTCACTTTCTGTCCAATACGAAATATAACACCACACA